TCGTTCAGAAACGACAGCTACACACAGCTTGCAAAGGAATGCTTTTATCAGTCCCAGCTCTTGCTGGCTGCGAGCCCAAAATAAACACAGATAAATTCTCTGGCAAAAGTGAACTACAGTAAAACAGGTTTATATAAATCAAATCACTTATCCAACTGCTTCTTCTCAATGATTGCAAACAGAGACTTGACTAGAACAGGAACGGAACGGGATGGAACGAACGTTGACTTCTGCAACTAGGGCGTGGCACCATCAGTCTTTTATCCGCAGGAGGAGATCCTTAACGAGCCACAGCTGCTTGTTATCTTCTCCTGTGAGCATCCTGAAACCACTCACAGGAGGTTTCTCTGTCAGAGTCTGATAGCAGCTCCAAAGGCTCCTACCGAGCCACAACAAGGTGCTATGCAGGTGTGGGTTAGGAAGGTAGCTTGGGGATATTAATGCAGATCAGAGATGGCACATGGAGGGAGGGCAGCACAGATTAGGGTGTATGTGCAAGAAGTGCTTTGTTGTTTGGGAATGGCTTTTGGGGATGGGTTGGGAAACTATGTGACTGGATGCAGCACAGGTAGGTGAAGTGTGCCGGATAGTGGCATAGACTGGGGAGGATGCACAGGGATTCTTTCCTCCCTGTTCCCCCCTCCCTCTATTCCCAGCAGGTAGGTAAACGGCTGCTTCTGAGTGGAGAAGGGATTGCAAGACTGGCTTGGAAACTGTCAGAGAATATTCAGAGAATATTGATAAGGAACATAATGACGATAATATGACCACAGCAGCAGCCCAGAAATGCAGCAGCAGCACTGAAGCAGCCCTACCATTCTCAAATGTCATTTCTGGGTCATGGGTGCCAGATTTTGGACACATTATGTAAATTGGCCCGTTAGAATATTATTTGCATTTGAGATACAAAAAAAGGTTGCCCTGTGATACATCATTTTGTCCAATTAAAGGTATATATTGGCTTTTCTGGATTTTGGATAACAGTATATTTTTTAAAAACTTTTTATGTGTTTACCTAAAATGTTACATATTTATTTAAGTCAGTGCATCAATATTGCTTTTCCGGCGTGACCCGACAAATGCACGGACAACAAAAGCATGGACGACAAAAGCGTGCCGACAAAACCGCGGTGAGAAAACCGCGACGTCGAAACCGGGCCCACAAAAGCGCGATTAGGGTTAAGGTAAGGGTTAGGGTTAGGGTTAGGTTCAGGGTTAGAGTTATTACGTTGTTTTCGCATTGTTTGTTGAAGGCGCGCTTTTGTTGGCGCGCTGTTGTGGGCGCAATTTCAACGTCACGGTTTTCTCTCCGCGGTTTTGTCAGTGCGCTTTTGTCGTGCGCGCATTTGTGGGTGAACCCTTTTCCGGTTGTTGTCCAAACTAAATGGAATGCAGAAGGTTGATAATGGCTACTTTATAACACTATGGTCATTATCTGTTAGAGGTATTTTTTTTTTTTACAAGTTTAGATCAAAATTAATACATTTGATGTTTTATATCAAATTTTTTAATGCTCACTTTTTGAGTGCTTGGGTACCATTTATTTATTGTTGCTACTGAATTTGGGGATCTGGACCATTGCAGCTTTGTTTCTCTCCAATCTATATATAGCATCTACCTCTCTTAAAATCAAAAAGTATATCTTTACTCCTACCCTGATTTAGTCACACCATTCCAACCTACTTGTTACAGATAATACAATTCAGAATGTGAAAGCACAAATACCATTTTTGTTCATTTGGATCCAGGTGCTGCTGGAAGTGAAAATATTATCTCCTGCAAAAATGTATCTGAGTGATACTTGGAAAAGACACTTTATGTGCATGTCAGTAGGGTAATAAAATAAAGACTAGAGTGATGACTTTCATCATAAAATGTTCAGGTCCATTTATGTGTTGCACTTAAATATGACATTAACTGCATCATTAAATCACTGTAAATTTCCATCTGTGCTTTGTTAAACTTGTAATAGTCTTCATCTGTCTTCATTTTGCCCCTGTATCATTTTCGATTGTCTTGCCTCTGTAGTGGCTAAAGTTTGAAATTTTTGGAATTACTTTAATCAATAAAGTTATCACCAATCATTTCCCTTGATAACTGCTTTGTAAAGTGATCCTGCCTTTGCTTGCTCCAGCTGAGATGTTTTCAACCGACTGGTGGAATGGAAGGGACTCCCTGAAGTCCAATTTTCATTTTAACCTTTCCTGAATAGCTTTAGGGAGAAAAGATTGCTGGAATTACTTTAATGGGAAATTTAAAACTCTTAAAGGTAACCAAGCTCTTCTTATGATTCAGTAATATGACAGAGAGTTACCCACCTTTAAAGGTTACAGAAATAGCCTTATGCCGATTATTTTTAAAGTAGTTGTTAACAGTGATTTTTACTGCATTGCGATAATACCAAAATAATGTTAAGGTTCCAATAGCTTAATATCATAATAAATAGCATCTATTGGTTGTAAATTGTCCTAGTCTAATGAGAATTATAATAGGTTACACAAGTATGTGCCTGCCTCTAGTTTGCTACTTGCAAATTTCTGATAGTGCTAAAAATAGATAAGAAAATGTAAGAATGCAGCTACAGTAGTAATCAAGGTAATTCACTTTTTCTAACGTCACTGTGCTAAATTGAAATCAAGAATATCACTTGCATTGTCTGAGCCATCTGTTTGACACAAGATTCAAGATTTAATGAATTTGTATGCCGCCCAATCCCGAAGGACTCCGGGCGGCTTACATAAAAACAGTTTTAAAAATACTAAAAAATTTAAAATACAAAGACAAAGCAGTTAGAAGAGGTTCCACCTGTGGACCCGGAAAGCAGGCCACACCTACAGAAGAGGTTCCGAAATTTTTTGAAACCCACCACTGGTCCTTGGATAGGATTATTCTACATTATCATGCTCCTATTTATAAAACTCAGTGCCTCTGTGAAAGGTAAGGATGACTACTGCGTTTGTGGTGCAATCAGAACATTGCGTGTGTTGAAGTTGTTTTAACGCAAACCAAAGATGCCTTTTAAAAAACAAGTTTACATCCTATTCTTATGCATGCCAGTGCTGTGTGTGAGGTAATTTAAGGTGGTTCTGACAAGTGTCGTCGGCATCTTCATATCCGGTCACATGGGCGGCAAGCCACTCCCACAAAGGAGGCCACACCCACAGAGTAGGTTCGAGCAATTTTTGAAACCCACCACTGATGATCTCCCACTTTCTAGCCTTGTGCCTTAATCACTAGACCAAACCTACTGATCCTATCAGTCAGTATCCTTTTGGGTTTGTAATATCAGAAGCCTGAGGACTGAGCCGAGGTGGCACAGTGGTTAAATGCAGCACTGCAGGCTACTTCAGCTGACTGCAGTTCGGCGGTTCAAATCTCACCGGCTCAAGGTTGACTCAAGGCCTTCCATCCTTCCGAGGTGGGTGAAATGAGGACCCAGACTGTGGGGGCGATATGCTGACTCTGTAAACCGCTTAGAGAGGGCTGAAAGCCCTATGAAGCGCTATATAAGTCTAACTGCTATTGCTATTGCTTTTTTCACCTCTTCCTTTGTCTAAGTGAGACTATTTTGGTGTAAGAAGAAAAAAGAGAAAGAAGAATCTAGTGGTTTTATAATGGCCACAGTCTTAAAGATAATGCATGCCTGTGACTTAGGGTTCAGCCTTACATATATGTCCCAGTGAACTCAGGGAGACTTACTTTTGAGTAGATGCATATACTTGTACTATTTGTTTTGTAATACACCTTTTAGTTCTTCAGTTTTCAGAACAGTTTTCCTCACAATAACAGGTTTCAGGAAGTAAATTATTTCTTTACGGTTGATCAGCTCACATTCCACTTTTTCACAATTTCAGAATGACTTAAGTTTGTCGGAAACCACCGTGGTCTTTGTGTAAAATGTGTTGACAAACTTGAATTCTTGTTTTGGCCTTCAGCAAGTAGGTGACCTTTTCAGTTGTATCTTCTCTGCTTCTCTTCCCTTCCTTTCTCTGATTTTTGCTTTCCTATCTTGCCGCCAGAGAAGAAGTTAAACCTAGGTTTGACAGGTAGAGTTTTTTTTTTTTATTTCCCCTGACAGTCCACCTCTTGACCTCCATCTTCTTGCCAATGATTTTTTTAAATCCTAAATGATTTGGGAATAATTGCTGCTCCTTTAGTGATTATTGCCCTTCACCGATAGTAAATCTGTGAAATCCCAGGAGGCTGGAAGACATGTATGCATGCGTCCACCACAAGCTGGCTTGGATAGGCACCACTGCTCAACTGCAGCTACGGATGGCCTTCTTACACAAAAACTTCTCTATAAACAAAACGAAGCATTTTACTCTTATGCCAGCACCTTCTTAATTGCAGCATGAAAGACTTGATTCCCCTGGAAGCCTCCTTATCTGCTTCCCTGTCTCGTATTAAATCTTCCACGGGTTTTTTTTTATAAATTAGGAGAAAACTATTTCTATAAACCCTTAATAGAAAAGCCATAAAAGGAATATTAGCGGATCCCGCTAAGTCAATTCAGCGGACCACACAAATCTAACTTGGCTTCCAGAATTAATTGAATTTGAAATGTCTCTACTGCAGCTTCAACAGATTTATATACTTAGAAGTTGGTTTGTTTAACAGGCAGCACAATGAATAAAAGGGAACTTACTGAAGCTCTTCATTTATTGTTTTAGAGACCTGTTATTTTTCAAGTCACTTTAAAACCTACTCAAAGAAATCAAGTTAAATACAGGCAGTCCTTGACTTAAAACTAATTTTTTTTTTATTGAAAATTTTTGAGAAAAAAAAAGCTTTTACAAATATTTAGACTGCTTTAAATATCAGTGGTCAACTCTATAGCCTTGTAGGTAGAGATTGAATTATAATCCAGATGGGTTAGCTTTAAATCAGTACTTTGACAATACTAACTTGTTTAATTTGTATGATGGCTGTTCTGACCCCCCTTCTCCGTCCAGGAACGAACGCCGAAACTAACGTAAAGGAGAATGTTTTTTAATCAGTCCAGACTCTCGTTGGCTGAAAGCCACATAAACAAAGAGATAAGCACTCCGGCAGCAAGTCCTACAAAACTTGGCAGCAATGCAAACAAACTCTGGCAGCAATCCAGCCTGCCAAGTTTGTTTCTTGTTAATCGTTAACGTTGACTTCTGCATAAAGGCGTGGCACAAGCAGTCTCTTTTATAATCAGGAGAGGATCTTAATGAGCATCAGCTGAGCGTAATCACCTCCTGCAGTTGTTCTTGACGCCGAGTAGCCCTTTGACGGCGTGCATCTCGGAACAACTCACAGGTGTTTTCTGGATCACTCACTCTTGTCTCCTCCCCACTGATCCAAGGCTCAGGCGCCACCTGGTGGCCAACCAGTCTCTCTGCGCCCTGCTCGGAGTCGGAACCCTGTCCAGGATCCTCCACATCCTCCAGGGCCGACTCATAGGGCCCTCGCTGTCGGAGTCTGGTGGCAGCTCCAACGGCTCCTGCCGGGCCACAACAGCCTAGTATGTTCAACAACCTTGGTCTAAGCAGAAGACCAGAAGAACAATTCTGGGAACAAGTAGAGCCATTTAAATATTTCAAATTAAGCATTAAAATTCCGATCCTAATTGAGGTCATAAGCTCCAGATGCTCTGTTCATGTTATATGTACACAACCAATCCCACTTGGAAAAAGGTTTGATGTAAGCATCAGCACTCTGAACTGTGGTTGGCTACACACATCCATGTCTGGTTTGTTTCTGCAACCAAACAAGACAGACACAGACTTCAGAGCCGAGGTGGCGCAGTGGTTAGGGTGCAGTACTGCAGGCCACTTCAGCTGACTGTTATCTGCAGTTCAGCGGTTCAAATCTCACCGGCTCAAGGTTGACTCAGCCTTCCATCCTTCCGAGGTGGGTGAAATGAGGACCCAGACTGTGGGGGCCACAACAGATGGCTATATTAAATATCAAATCAAGCAGTTTATTATTTCAAGGAAGATGAAGTAGGGTGGGACTCAAATGCTTTTGACTTAATCTCTGTCTGTATTTCATTGCGGTGACAGGCCATCATGATTGGAGACGATATTGTAAATGATGTCGGAGGAGCCCAGCAATGTGGAATGAGAGCCGTACAAGTACGGACAGGAAAGTACAGGTCACTGCATATTCAATAAGCCTTTTATCTCCCATAGTCAGTCATTGGCTTCCCTTACTTTTTCCTTTATGGCTCTTTGGTGTAACTATTCATGCATTGATTTATAATTTGTTTGTTTGTTTGTTTGTTATATTTACATGCCGCCCTTTCCCCCCGAAGGGGACTCAGGGCGGCTCACAACTCAAACCAGGGAAGGGGGATACAGACAAAAAAATTAAAAAACGACACATAACAATGCATAATTTAAAAACACACGACAGTCATACCATTCGAGACGGGGGCAACAGCTCTTTAGCCCCAGGCCTGTGGGGAACAGCCAGGTTTTAAGGGCTTTGCGGAAGGCCTGGAGGGTGGTGATGAAAAAGATACCTTTTAATTTTTTTTGTCTAGCATAGTTGTGGAATACAGGGTCTGGCATGGTCTGAATTTTGTCCTAGGACTCAGCTTTACATGGCCCGCGTGTCTAAATCATACCATCAAGCCCATTTTTAATAACGATGCACTATTTTATTAATCCTGGTAATTTGGTAGAGCACGCATTTATTCATTTGCAGAGAAAATGCATCCAAACCCAGTTTCTTTCTCTAAGTAGTTTGTGCCTTAAAATCAAAAGGAACCTTAATACAGCGCGAAAAACATGAAGTGCCGTGCATAATTTACAGTATTTGAAATCCAAGCTGGTCTCTTGTGTTTTAGGGAATGACTGCTTGCAGAAAATGCTGCCTTTGAATCAAGAGGTGTGTATTACATTCTAGTTCCCTTAGATGGTGCCATTTGTACAATTACTGCAGCTCTGACTGATCTCTCCTGGCTGTTTTGGCAGATTTGCCAATCACTGTTACCTCTGAAGAAAATTGCCAACATAATTGATCTTTTTCAGATTCTTTACTGATTAGAGCAGTGTTTCTCAACCTTGGCAACTTGAAGATGTCCGGACAAGTTGCCAAGGTTGAGAAACACTGGATTAGAGGTTTCAAGGTTTCTGAACTTATTTCAGATCAAATAAGCTCTTGGCACTTTTCATTGGTCTTTTGAATGCTTTTTAACGCTGCAGAACTCTTTCCCAGCGAGGAACGCAAAATGGTTTGTAATGCATATGGGTCCCAATACCTAAAACGTTGAAAGAATTGAGGCATGAAACAGTTATTTAGTACAAACCTCGAAATGAAGTGATGAAGGAAAAGAAGTGTATATATCAAGGAGAGGGAACCTAGATTACCCTTTTGGATTACCACACTTAAAAAATGGCCAGATTGGGCTGGATAAATAGGATTTGGAATTTGGAATTCAACATTTGAAGGATCAGGAAATTGCCACTGTGATTTATAGAGAATATAACTACATAGGAGCCGTACATTCAGGAACATGCAGGAGCCTAGAAGGTTGGATGAAATAAATCTATAGGATCCAGGCAAGCATTCCCAATGTGACAAGGTGTATTTTAAAAAAATAATAATAACAAAAGGTTAGAAATTGTACAACAGAACTGCCATCAGAGGTGGGTTCCTACCAGTTCGCACCTATTCGGTAGAATCGGTTCGTAAAATCTACCGAACCGGTTAGAAGAGGTTCCACCAGTGGACCCGGAAAGCAGGCCACACCTACAGAAGAAGTTCCAAAACTTTTTGAAACCCACCACTGGTCCTTGGATATGATTATTCTACTC